ACTAGTGGCGGCGGTGGTGTATACGGTTGCGTACTGGATGGGTTGTACCCAGGTTGGCGGGTTCAAAACCGATCGAAGCCGGGAATTTTTAAGGGGGCGAAAAATTCTTCGTGTACTGCACTTTCCTTCGGAGGGAAGTAAAGCCGGCTGTCATGTCTGTAGATATTACTTGCATGTTAAAAGATGTCAAGCCCTAAATGACGCCTCTGACTAAATTCAAATCGCCTGTTTCTCGCCCAAGAAATACTTCTTTCCTGCTATATGAAAGGAGGCGTAGCGAAATTTGCGTGGTCAACTGGAGAGAGGCGGGCTGATGGCCGAGTCTCGCCACGTAAAATAAGGCATATTCAATTTCAATTCAATTCATTCAACAGTTGCAATAATTAACATGTTATACTTTGGAAAATGTTTCAGAGCTGTTTATATTGTTTTATTGTAGGAAGATGGTGGACCTACACATTTTGTGATCAGAGATTTATGAGGTTTAAAAATAAGAGAAATGGTCTAAGGTGAAAGTAAATCGCAAGACTTTAACAGAATATGTCAGCTTCAGGCAAAACTTGGCAGCATAAGAATTAATTAGTGTTAGTAAATTACATATTAAATTTTCTGTTATTTATTGGCTTTTAAATACAAATATATAGTTGAAAAAATTTTCTCTTAATTTTTAGGGGTATGGCATGGGAAATGCAGTAGTGTACTTTCGTCAGGTTGAACTAGCATACAATAGTTCAGATGACTGGATGCTCGATTGTTGATTGAAGATTCTCAAGCATCAATGTCCTAATCAATTATATTATCATGCTTGCCTGGTACAAAAACAGGTTCAAGCAAGCTCTGGGCACATCAGGTGCACTAGAAAGATTTCTGAAATGATGGGCGAATAAAGTGGAAAGTTGGTTTCGTGATATTTTCACTGGCCTCTATCTCTTTAGAATTTGTAGTAGAAATTCTCAAAATAATTTTTTTCACCCAACAAACTAATTGTTAATATAGAATTGCACATTTTTTTATAATTCTATTTAGATATGATTTGTACAGTTGATGTATTTCTTACATGTGGCAATTATTTTTACTGTAAACAAAATCACTTAGGGAAAATAAAATTATCTTTTTTATGACAAAAACTTAATGAAATTATAAGAAAAATTAGGGATCACTTAAAGGGGCCCCATACTTTATGGTTGAATCAGTTTGTTTTAAATATGTTGAAATGTTTATGAATATGATGATTTTTAATATGTTTCTGTGTGCAAGATTATTTAAAAATTTCTCATTCATGATGGGACAGATTTTTAATAAATTCTCTTTTTCTCAATTTATCTTGGACACACAGAAACATTTTTTATTTTGGTTATTTGTTTGTAATCAATACAATTTTAGAATGAATCCTTTTTATCTTACATATCTGTTTATGGAATATAAAATCTGTGTAATAATGGTAATGAAGTAATAACAGTTGAGTTTTGATTTGAAAGAATAATTATGTGCAAAACATAAATCACAAGATCATCGTTGCTTTGGATCTGTAAACTTAAATGTATTGCTGATTGGGCTGGCATGAAGAAGATAAATGCAAAAGGTAGTAGGTTGTTTGAGAAAGTATCATAGTATCATTAGAAGTATGTGAAACAATGTGCATGACACGGGCTTATTCCTCAATTTTTCCTTTTCTGCATCCTTGGTCTTCCTCTCTTCTTACCATCATGGGCATCTAACCCTATAATTGAGACGGCTTTTGGGGAGCTTGGCCCCTAAGGTTGGGATGCATTCCACTGGGGGAGGAATAAGCCACAAGCATCAGTAGCTTGACACAGAATTTACATTCCAACGAAGAAGGAAACACAGCTACCTCACACGCACTACTACGCACTACTCATGACTAAATGCATTCACTTTTCGAAGGAATGATCGATGTAGTAGTTGACGGGCACATGCAGGAAGCATTATTCAACAATGCTTGGAAAGGAATGATAATGCAATTTTGTATTTGGTTAATAGATCTAGAGCAATGGTAGCTATTCCCCGTGATCTTGATCATGTCCATGATTTTCTGAGAAGGCAGTTGAGTTAAGTTTGATCCATATATTCATAGGCAATTGGTCTATGAAGTCATACGAATGTGCGGTCTTATTTTGGCTTCATTTTCTAAAAAACAATTACCTGGAACATGCAAAACTTGTATAGTGAATTTTATTTTGATCATATAAGGTATATTTGGAAATATAATGAAATGTTTAAGGTAATGAGTGTCAAAATGGGTATATAATATGTAATTATATACCCAAATAGGGGTAAATGAATTATTTTAAAATAAGAATGGGGGTTTTAATTCATTCAGGGAATGGGTCATAAAACTAAAAAAATTTACTGGGAAGTAGGTACCTGTCTATAAAATGGTTATTACATTGAAATTTAGTTCCTAGTTAATGGGAGTGGTCAAAATAGGGATGTTTTAAGGATTACTTTTAATGAACATTTTCATTGCAATCAGAAGAGTAGTGTGTTTTGTATGAAAGAAGTTGAATGGAATGAGCAATCATATAATTATGTTTTTGAACTCATACGTGAGGGTGGTGGAAACCAATGTGTATGGACAACAAGTGAAAGAAGTATTGGAAGGAATGAAGAAGATTCACAAGGAACGAAAGCGTGGATTCTCATGGAAAGGATTAAACTCCAGTACAGAAAGTTATATAATTTCGCCCGGTAATGCATTCTGGGGAAGGGGCAAAAATTGGTTACAGTTTGATGTGGTCTCAGAGCTTGGAATCTTTTTGGGGGAGCTGTTATTGGTAATAAGTTTTCAAATGTCAGATAGTTGTTTCTTTAAGAGAGTTGCAGTTCTTTTTGTTGATCTTCAATGATGTCTTTAAAAAATAATAATAAAAAATGTAAAGATTTTTTAAAAAAGGTGAGAGAAGGGTGATCTGGGGCAAATAACATTACAGTTTAAACAGAGTATTATGAGCGCATTAAGAAAAAATATTTTATTAACTTTTCGTAATTTTATTATAAAAATTGTTTGTTTAGGATTTCAAAAAAATGTAAATAATGACCAATTTTTCATTGTGATTTATGATGCTAATTAAATAATCTCAACAGCAAGTGGGAAACATATGCTACGTACAAAAAAAAATCCAAAAAAGTACTGCTGATGAGGGGTGTAGCAGCTGTCTCGGAGCTCTTGTGACAGTCCCTACGCGTTACATTGATGAAAAGAAAGACATGTTTTTGATGTTTCTCACATCATTGTAATTTTTTTTTTTTTTTTATACTATATATCTAAGAAAGATTTTTTGGATATAGAAGACGACACGTGTATATTTTATATTCCATATTGAGCAACAATAAAGTATTTCAAAAAAATTGACTTTTGTTTGTTTGTAGAGAATATAAATCTGCAATGATTTGTGGAAATTTCTCTATTTGTAATGGCTACAATGCTCAAGGGCCAATATTTTAAGGAGACTATTTTCAGATCTTTGAAAGGTTCAAATATTACAGGCATGATTCAGCTGAACAGCAGACCTGTGAAGAGATTTTCCTATATGTAGTATTTCCTTATATATATCCTATATGTAGTAAAATGCTTCGCTTTAAATGTTGTGTGGTCAAATCCATTTTTTGTGGGTAATTTTATTTTTTATTTATTTAATAATGATTGCAAAAAATAAAAGTTATTGATAATGAAAAAATATCTTGTCAAAAATTATGACAAGTAACATCTTGTCTATGGTCAGCAAACCGAAAAATGTCTTGGGGCCGGTTTTCCTGAAAAATTTGTACGCTGTGATGAAATTAAATGGACTTGAAACCTATGAGTTTGAACGGAGATTTTGATGTATGAAGGGTATTTTAACATGGCTCAAAAAACATTTTCAAATTTTTCTCTAAAATTGCCAGGTTTTTTCACTTGGTTTTTTCGTTAGCAAAGGAAGCACTTAAAAGACGCTGGTCCTCAATGTTTTCATTAAAGAACTTAATTTTCAAAATTGCCCTAAGTTAAAATTTTTTGGTGTTTTGCCTACAATACAATAGTTGAAAATTGATTGGGATTGATCGGGTTAGTGATTGCATGTCATCAACTGCTCGGTCATTGGTTCGGCATGTTTTTTCCCCGTCTGATGGGGAAAGATCACTACCATCCTTTCAGTCACGAATGCAATATATTTAGCAAATGCTGGAAAATGTGAATGAAAGCCATGGAGAGATCTTTAAGAAAAAAACGTTTTAAATGACTTAACGTCATAATTAAAGAATGCAATTTGCACATATCCCTTTACAGTAAAATTTTGAAGAATAACATTTTTTGGTGATAGTTTTAAGTAAATAAGCTATGTGTCATCTTGAGTTCTTTGTAAATGCTATTTATGAGCTTTTGTATTTATATATAAGTTTTTGTTTCGAAAACTTATTGGCATTCTAAAGCACACATACGTATAAAATATAATATTGTTGAACATTTGCTGTTCGTATTGGTAATATAGACGTTAGAGAAGTTAAAAAATTACATTTTTTTTCAGCAAACAAAAGATACAGAATATGGCGTTGTCATATTAGAAGAGTTTACATTTACACTTCCTACGAAAGTTACAGAAAAAACTTGAGCTGTTTTTGGAAAAAATTTTGTACTTTGTAAATTTTTTAATTGATGTATTACTCTGCAATATTGCGAGGAAATTACAAATATTGTTTAATATAAATTAGTTACATGAGAGATATGAAACATCACTATGTGAGAACCATTTTAGTTGTGATAGGAAATAGATTTCTTATCTTTCATTTTGTGGTTGTATAGAAACGTCCCATAAATTTTTGGTAAATTTCGAAAAATTCAGGGAATTAAATCTGGGAAATTTTTCGC